TGCTGCACAAATAAGACTTATTTACGGAACGATGTAGGATTTATTGGTTCGCATGGACTCAAAACTGAATTTTTCAACTTTAGGCCGAGGCCAGTCGCACCGCCGATACCTGCTTCAACCTTCTTGAAGCAGCCGCCAGCGTATCTAGTATGCGCACTGGCTGTGACGTTGTCAGTCCTTGTCATTCGATCGATTTCGCTAAGGATGTCGTACCACACGAAGCTGTTCAAACAGAAGCGTTGTCCGATAATCAGCTTGAGGAAGAAGGGAAGGTTGCTGATGAAGAAGCCAGGTATGTTTTTCTATTCCCCATCTTTCTTCCGATGGGTACATTTCCCGTGGTAACGCTGTCTATTTTCATTGTAGATTGGTCGATTGGTCGAAATTAGCATGTTTGCTTTGTGCTCGTGGATTTAAAGATTCTGCAACACTCCAAAAGCATCGTTCGTTTTCGTCGTTGCATGTGGAAAATTTGAATAAATTACGGATCAAGCACGGTCTTCGCCCCATACCGGTGCCATCCGCTAGCGGTGCTGCGGCCTCCAGCAGTGTTCCGTCTGCTGCTACGTTGGCGCAAATGAATGCTAATGCAACTACCGAACAGACTTCATCCAGGAACGTTCTTTATAGGGATAGAGCCAAAGAGCGCCGTGAAAAGTACGGTATACCTTCGCCACCCAGGTCGAAGTACGTAGACGAGCTGCAAGCAGTACAGCGCCATACTGTGTCACCCCCGATAGATCAGCAATCGCAACTACCTTCTGCTGCTGCTCCCATCACCGGTGAGTTTTTCTTGACATCGAGGTTCTCTTTCCACGGTTAGTTTGTTAATTTTCTGAGCGGTTTCCACGAATCTATGTTGTACTTCATAAAACGGTCGTTTTTTTTGAGGAACCATTGTCTGGTTGGGTCTTGTTGCATTTAGATTTTGTCGAATGGCGCAAATATCACATAGGTTGAGTGTCTTACGCAGGTAACTTTTTTTGTCTCTCATGTTCTAGGTTCCAACGTCGGCAGTCGTCTGATGGAAAAGATGGGTTGGCAGGCCGGCCAAGGTCTTGGCCGAGCAAATCAAGGACGAACTCAATTAGTGGAAGCTGAATTTCGCGAGCAAGGTGTTGGTTTGGGCATTAAAACCTCGAAACGAGGTCCACCGTCTGATAACTATAAAGACCACGTTAAGCGTGCGATGTTTGCTCGGTTCCATGAACTAGAATAGCGATTCCATTTGTACATAATAATTGTAACATCTACCCATAATTACTGTTCTCAGTTTCACTGGGCGGTTGTTTTTTCGACTTTGAACGTCTCTTAATTTACTTCATTATTGTTTCCATCGCACAAGAGATCCGTCGATATTTGAGTGCCAACCAAGTTGAACAGATATTTTTTTTACACAACCCACTCGACGTGAATGATCACAATGATCTCAGGGTAGTCACGTCTAGTAAGACTTGACGAAATGATCCTACGTATTCTATCGCCTGCACGAGATTGCATCCAATGGTAATCAACTCATCGATGCTACTGAGTAACTGTTTCGTCAATGGACCATATTTGTGCATCAAACTAACAATGTGTACCTGCTTTTTATTAGGCATATTTGTGATGAACATGAGAGCTAGTGAGTTCCTGAACCTACTTACGGTCACGTTAGCGAGAAACCTGGATTTACAAAGTGTTTGTCGAAGCAGATATTGAGTGTAAAAAACCGAAGGTGGTCCAAAATGAAAAACAACCGGGAGACCAGGTCTTATAGGTAGCCTTAGGGCGTTGGGAATAAACTTCGAGGTAAATGTAAGAGAAACAGTTCGAGTATCTCAATATTTTTCACAATCCTTGTCCATTGAAATTCTCCATTTTCCTTCAACGTTCTTGTCGTTCTACTGCTTCAACCAAATTGGCAGCTAAAAGACAGTAACTAAATCGACGCACGAAAGTGCATAGGTGATGGTTGTACAAACAGAATCGAAAAGTAACGATGGGTAATTATGTAAGGACGTATATTTGACCGGCCAATTTAGGTAATAAAGTAATAAAGGTGAAGAGAGGCATAAATGGATAGTCGAATACGGGGTAATTTTGTTATCTTAGTTCCATAAATCGGATATGGCTGTTCTTACTCGGATCTTTCTACGCTTTGTGCGTGTGAAAAATCTCATTATATGTTCGAAAAACGTATCGATGACAGTATCAATGCGAAACCATCTTTCGTCTGTGATGTTTCTCGAAAAAAATTATCCAGTAGTTTTTTGGAAAGCGTGTTACGAGACAAAAGTCAAGGGGAGAGTTTTCGAAATGTAGAAAAGAAGCCAATATACAGTTCTCTTCCAATAGAAGGGTTACGGTCACGGAGTTGGTTAGTTGCAAAAGAGAACTGCTGGAGGGAATGAACTTTGTGAAGTAAAATTATGTGTCTCATTCACGTACAGCCCGATCCTCTGTTCTCAACTCAAATGTAAGACTTTTCTTTAAAATCATTTTGTGTGTATCTATCTATGCGTTGTAGTTGCGCAACAGGCGCCTATCCCCAAGGGTTCGTGAATATTATATGGCCTGACTAAATACGGGTGTAATTAAAACTACTCAATTTTGAAGCGCAGTGGCCGTTTTATGCGATCAAGTCACATCAGAGCAATACAAGAAGAACAACTGAATTTGCCCTTTAGCAAACATTGCATTACCACCAAGTTTGTTTGTTTGTTTAATTTCATCAGTAGGTTGTATTCACCGGCACCTCGGGGATCTGACAATAAGAACGCCACTACTGTTAGTTCGATGCCATTTTTAAATTCTCCGAAACTGGTTGGTTGGAGACATTGAAGAATATGGCACTCATTAGTTAGTCCTGAAATAGATAGATTGTTGTCTGCTGGATAACGCTTGAGAGAGAATTCACATTGAACACTTGATGCAGGGTCCGAGCAGGTTATTCTTTTCGTTGAAATCGTTCATTTCCCCCAACTGACACATGGAACTACTGTCATTGATGCTATTTTTGTATGTGTACCGCGTCAAATCTGGTTGCTCCCGAATGTATGTGGGTTTCGAGCGCTTACGTACACAAATCATTGAAATCGTATCTATTAGTAGTGCATTCGTTTAAACCTGTTTCATCGCCCGTTGTCACGTCTATTTCCATCATCATCATCTGAAGAGACGGGTTAGTTGAGAGATAGATACATGGTTTGTAGAACAAACAGGATGGGGCAGTAGCGTACAGGCGTACTTACCGGAATCGAACTGACAGTTATCTTGTAACTAACGAACTCGGAAAATGAGGTAAACATGCTAATTTTCGGTGCGCGTCTGAAGTGGTTTACATAATGGTTGCATATCCGAGGTTCGCACAGAATAGATGAGGATAAGCGTGTCTCAGCTCTACCAAACACCCTGAAAGCACCATTGAAAACTTAACTTCCCGCTTTTGTTGTTAGACACTGTTTTAGAATCAGTAACCGGTCACCACAGCGTAGAAATAAATAGACAGTTCGACTCCTAGTCAATGTATACTTGACTAGTACCCTCAGTCCCGTGCTCTCTTTCGTTCCGGGAACCGGAAGTTGGAAGATATGCTAGGTGTCTAGATTCAATGGTCGCGTATTCTTGAGATTGATGTTCAGCGTATGCAGTCACAACATAAATTTCAGGTTGATATTGTTTGTGGATTCACTATGCTGCTCATTTTGCTCATCCATCCAAATACTTGTTAAACGAGACTAGTGTAGGATTTGATTCCATCGCAAAGTGCATTTTGTTGTGTAAAGGATTGGTCACCAAGCATCGACACGTCGAGGGACCTATTCGTTGTATCCATGTATAATTAAAATCTTTTTAACATCCTTTCACCTCCACAAATTGTAACAAAAAACGCAACCTTGCGAATTTTCACCGCATGTTTTCGGGAATGTTACGCTGCAGCTTCATTGTTATTCCCTGCAAATTAGTGTTAATGTATCGGCGTCTTAATTAGTAGGGGGGGGGGGGNGTATGAGAGTTCTTTCTGTTTTGCGCATTATGAGTTTTAATCGATTGATCAGTATCGCCTCCGCAAGTACCATTCACCGTGAATTGCTGATCGATTTATCGCAATCAAGCTGAAGTTGTTTTACCAACTGATTAGTCACAAGTCATGAGACAAAAATCAAATGTACAAAACGTACATTTGATTTTTGTTTCTTTGTGTTTGTGATATTCATCATGGTCGTTTCGGAATATGCTCAGTTACTTAAATTGTCTCCACATCATACTGTCAGAGGTTCCACTCGCGAATGGAAATTGATACAAAACGTATTTTCCATGCAACTAACAGGCATAAGAAATCCACCAGTTAGAATGTAAGCTGACTGCTACGACCGGTTCTCCTTAAAATTCACCGAATGAAAGTGTATTGTTTGGCGAAGAACGGGTTTTGACTGGTGCCGCTGGTGCATTAATAGAAGGCTGGTGAGGGGTTGCAAACAAAATTCGATTTCCGAACGCCTGACTCACCTAATCACCTCTTTTACGTCATTTTGAGTTTGACTGTATGGTCTTCTATCGACGTAGCTCACGTTCTATTGTGCACACGACTAATATGTCTTCCGATCAACTCGAGTAATAACAATTGGGTTTGGGTGCCCAATCGATTAGTTGTATTTCAGATTGTAGATTCTCCCATGTGCATCTTGATCCGACTTAATCGAGGAGTATTCTAATGAGATTACTGTTGTACTAGATTGGCAAGGAGCTGTTAAAACACCGCTTTGCAAATCGAATCACCCCCTCTATGAACGAAGCACATGTCCAAAAATGGTAGTTGGTTGTCAGATTCACTCACCAATATGAGTGGGATTTTCATGCAGTCCAATAAAGTGGTCTGAAAGTCGTTTCGTTTCAGCCACATGCGTAGCGATCAATAGCTTGTCATCTAATTAACACCAGTATAGTCATGTCACTGAGAGTGGGTGGATGGTTGGAAACGATGTGTCAGATCTGCGTGCAACGGGTGACCAGGATCTGTGAGAATCCTCGCTGCTAATTCCATACTGAAAATTGTATGATAATGCGGAATTTCCACCATTCACTTGTCCACATCAATGGAATCTTGTTTATGTGAGCCTGGGGAACCATAGAGTATGATGGGGAAAACACTGATAGACATAGGTAGAAATAACTGAATGCGAGAGAGTGACAGCTTTCAAATTGGAAACGATAGGCCCTGCAGTTTACCAATGCAGTTATGGATGTGAGTTGACCAACGAAGAATCCTATCTATACAGGTGTTGACCAAAACTGGTGCAACATCACTCTCATTTTAGACATTCATTTCAGTTCTGGATATCATACTTGTGCATTGACGAATTTGGGTAAAGTGTGTTTATTCCTGATTTTATCTCCCACTTCTATGTTCCTAGTTCTGTTCCATTACCGTTTGAGTTCGCGGGACCTTGAGTGTTGTGATAAATTTTATAGTAGTTCGAAAGTTACAGCTCAGATTTCGAAAATATTTTATGCAAAGCAGCCTGATAATTCATTCTTTTTAATGAATGATTCCTGTTTCATGAAAGTGTTATTTAAGTTGAGCACACGTATTCTAAATGGTTTTTTTCATTCAGTGCATAAGAAAAAAGCAACTTATTCAAAGTATTCCAGCTTAAATATATTGATGAATGACTTGGTTACAAACTACTTACACATTATCCACAATACTGAAATAACTGAAAATAGTCCAAGAAACATGCAAGTTGATCTTCGAAAGTTGGCCTCGAGGTTTGCGGCGTTTAGTGTCACCGTACCCAAACCGGTTGACGTATTCGAAAGGTTTTGGCATGCAATCGGAGCCTGAAGGCAACTTATTAGAGAGGAACATAAATCCGATGAATCAGTTGGTGTCTTGTGAAAGTGTGCGTGTGATGTAACCATAAGTTCAAATTGTTGCATATTCAACGGAATTTCTCCATCAAGACATAAACCAAGAAAACCTATTATATCAAGGCAAGATAATGGTTGTATGTGATCACAGCAGAGAAAAGTTGCACAAAACCAATCTGAAGGTTAGTCCATGTCCAATGAATCTCCTTTTACCTGTCAAAAGAAGAAAATATCCCTCCTTCTTAACAAATTGGAAGGCAAGTAAATACTGAGTGCCTTGATATTGGTCTCCTGGATACACCAATATGGATATCGCAAAATGTCTTGCACTGATAAGGGAGATTTTTGGTTACTGCTTTTTGTTCA